TCTCATCACACTTGGTGATGTCGAATGTATAGGTTCTTTTAGGGAACCTGTCATTCTTTTCCATTTCGACTGGACTTTTTCCATTCGACGGGGCTAAAACTTTACAAGAATATGGAGGGCCTTGCTTTAATTCTGCAAGATCAATTTCTTGCTGGTCGAAAATGACTGGTTCGTTTTCGTCGTAATCATCTTGAACTATTCCTACATAGGCCACTCTTTCCTTCTTGTTTTTATTTGATCTAAATTTCTCATTTTTTAGTCTTTCTATCTGCCTTACTCTGTCTGCCAGCTGTGCCATGTCTCTCAGATATTGGGTATCCAATTTTTTCCTTATGGAATAATCAAGACCCCCTGCAGCCATTTCGACTAGTTCTTGTTCCGGCACTTGCGTAAAGCATCTGGCTTTTAATAATCTAAACCTATTCAAATAGTCATCTATGGGTTCAGAAAATTTTCTTTTGACACTTGCCAACTCTTTCAAACTTATCTTGGTTTGTCCCATATAAAATTGTTCATGGAACAATCTCTCTAATTGGGTCCAAGTAAAAATTGAAGTTGGAGGAAGTGACGTAAACCAAGTGAAAGCGTTTTTTGTCAAAGAACTTGGGAAATATTTCATCCTTAAGTTCTCGTTATTAGCAATCTCTCCCGCTTCTATCAAATAACGTGCCACGTGTTCTATGGTGGATTCACTAGTATCCCCTGAAAATTTTGTGAATTTGGGGACTTTCCACCTTGGTGGTAACTCTTGTTGTAAGATAAATTCAGACAAGGGGGAAGTATAACTAGGCCTTTGTAATCCTACGTTTACTCCGTTTTGTGCCATTATTCTCTCCACCATGGTGGCAATATCATTTTCGACAGGCATGTTATTGTAACGCATTCTCTGCTGTAACACTTCGTCAGCATTTTGGTTTCTCTGGACTATTATCCTTCTTGGTTCCTGTCGAATAGGCTCTTCTACATTAGGCTGTTCGACCATCACCTCTTGCCCCCTGGGATTTTCCTGAGGGTTCCCTAAGGGCCTTTGGTTTATAGTGAGTTCCTCTTCGACAGCCCTATTGGCAGGATTCTGGTTTAATTGCATTCTTTGTTGTGCTTGTGGGACTCCAAAAAAATCAGCAATGCGTGCCATCTGTTCTGCCAATATTTGGTTTGTTTGGGTAGTGTTTTGTATTAAGGGATTGAACACGTCTCCCATTTGTTGTGTCAAAGCCTGCACCATATCATGATTGCTTTCATCCATCTGTTGACGGATTACTTGTGCAGAATGGTTTGTCATAGCGGGCATATGGAAACCTGGTGGAATTTGATTCATTCTATTTCCATTTCCACCATATCCTGATCCCTGCAATGGTGATGACACTTGAACCATGGCATCAGAGAATAATGGTGACGAATTATGTAGGCTTGCCATCATTGAAGTTGGCATTCCGTACGGTTGTTCTCTCCCAGTCAAAGGCTGAGAATAATTCAGATATGGCCTGAATGTATTTCCTCCAGGGGGAGGGGTTCCCAAGGGTCTGGCGTGTCCCATGGTGGAAGAACTAGGCGCATTCTGGGATCCTGAACCCGTTGGTATGGAATCCCCCAAAGGAGGCCTAATCTGTTCTAAAACAGGGCCAGACACTGGTATTGTTCCTGACGAAGGGATAGGATTGGAAACTGGAATGGTTTCGTCAGAAATATTTGAAGCATTTGGCAAGTTAGCCATGTTTCTTCTTCTTGTTCTCTTTGGTCTCTCTACGTCGGTTACGACTAATTTACCGCTTCTAAGAATCATACAACGTAGCAAGGAACAATTTGTCTAAAAATTTCTATTAGATTTTATCAAATGCACTGGTCCCACCAGGTGTGCCAATTTGTTCGCTGTGTTTTCTGGCGAACAACCTCTGGTTAACCAATTTCTTCAGAAAGTTGGGTTACTTGCAGGACCAACCATACAAGTCCTGGGATACATGTGCATTTGGTTCTGTCGAAATACTCTTAGACTTTTGGTGACTAATTTGCGGTTTGTTTTATCAATATTGTCAAAGTATTAAGGACTTTGATTTTGCAAGTAACGAAAGTTTGAACTTAAAGATGAAATAAGGTTAAAAGTTTAAACAAGAACAAAGAAATGTCGAAAGGCTAAAAACTTGCAAAAAAGTAAATGAAATTTAAAATGACATGGACTTGAAGAATAAACAAGTAATTTAAAATGACTTTGAAATATAACTGGTGTTTAAACGTACATTGTTCCAAATACTAGACTCATTTTCTCTCACACTGGGTACTTAGAGCTTTTACAGGAATTTTGTACAAATTTTCACACACACATTCTAACCACAAACTATCCTATTTATACACAAACAAAATAACTGCTTAGAACGGAAAAACTATAACTAAACGACAAGTGTCAGCCTGCATGTAAATTTCTTCTCTGAAACCTCCATGTGTCCAACTGCCAAAGGTTACAACCTTTGAATTTGAATCTCTTCCTTGGTGACGAAACCTTGTAACTCTTCAAAACTGTCGAAACCCTTTTAAAGGAGAAAAACTCTTCAGCACTTGCCAAACCTTATCTTTTTTTTTAACAAACTTCTTCTGTCGAAGCCCTCAGTCACACACTCTCCAAACTATTCTGCCAGAACATTATATCTATTTCTGTCGAAACAATGAAACTTTAAAACCTTGTCAGTAATTCTTGGATTCTCCTCCTGATGCTATCCTTCGACAAAGATGACCTTAAAGCCTGAATTTTAATCTTGTCGAAATTATGGGTTTACAGGTACCAAACCACTTGATCCTATTTTTTAAGCAAGCTTGTTGCTTGAGGGCATACGACAATTCAAGTTTGGAGGTATTTGATAATTAGTAAATGTATTATGTTTCTTGCTTGTTTTATTTCTGTTTTCATGAGTGTTTTTGTCACTTATGTTCAATTTATGTGTTTTCTCTTCTTTTAATGTTTTCAAGTGATAAAAGGGTAATGGAGCAAATCAGAGCGAAAATGGCCACAAATCGCATAAAAGGGGATCTTCCAATACAAAATTTCAGTGACCAATATGGCCTAGTCGTGTCCCATGTCACGGGCCGTGTTGGCCCTTGGAGCCATCCACATAGAAGTAAGACAAAGTTGACACAGTCTGACCGTGTCCCTTGACACAGATTGTGTCAGCACCCTAGGTATTTACAAATTCTATGTTTTTTTGAGATGGAAAAATAGATTGACAATCTCACTCCGCAAATTCTTATGTAGATATAAAATTAAGGATGAACAAAAACACTATAATCAATAAAAGAAATGTTATTAAATATTAAAAATATAAGTTTATAAAAATAAAAAGTAGGTGTAAAGTGCAACAAAATCTTACATTAATGAAGTTAGTGTGCAAAGATAGATGATGTAATCATAAGATGTTTCAATCTCCAATCTAGTTGAGCCTAAAAATCTGGATTACAAAACAAAAAGAAATAAACTAAAAGAAAACACAAAAAAATGAACACTTACTTACTTCATTCCTAAACATTCTCTGAATGATATAATAAACGAACTCAAAAATAAACTGAGATAAAGACATACATAATGGAACCAAAATCAACCAAAATCACCATTTCTCATTATCAAAGTGGAATCTTGAGCAAGAATGTGATTCTTCATAATCCAATTTTTTAGATTTGTGATAGATTGCAAAGGAGTAAGAAAGATAGTTGCATTTTTAGATTTGTGAAAACCTCTTGTTGGCTTGTGAAAGAATTTGCTATTTTTATTACTTCTAATTATAAAATATATAGATAGATAGAGATGAAGAAAAAAAAAAAGAATCTCTAAAATTGTGTAATACAATATCTAAATTAAGAGGATTCTCAAATTTTTACTCGGCCTAGATGTCAATCTTATCCCTTGATTATTGTCTTTTATTTTTCAATATATTTTTCTTCAATATTTTAATTAAAAAAATCTTTTTATATTTAAAAAAAACAAAAGTATAGTCCTTTGTAAACTCACTACAGGTAGCATAATATTTCTTCTGTCCCAAATTATATAAGTTTTATAAGTTATTTTATTAAAAATTTGTCTTAAATTATAAATTATTTTATTAAAAAAAATTTGTTTCAAATCATAACTCATTTTATAATTTCAATATAACATTTATGATATTTTTTCCATTATAATTTCTATTATTTTTCTTTTAATTCTTTAAATTTCTCTTTCATTTATAATAAATTAAAGATAAATTATAAAATTATGTATAATTTTTTTTCATATAATATTAATTATATTTTTTAAGTCTCATAAAATATTCAAAACATTTTATAACTAAAAAAACAGTAAGGACTTGTGTAAGGAAAAAAAATTCTATTTACACAAGATTAAGAAATTCCTTTATAACTTGTCCAAAAAAAAAATTCCTTTATAAGAAAAAAAGTTTAAACAATGACCAATTATAAATGGAAGCATTTTCTAAGAATCCGTTAAAAGCTCTTTATCCCTCTGTTTTTCCTCTCTTTTCTTCCTCTGTTTTCATTCTACCCAAAACAAGAATCCATTTTTTTATCTTTTCCTTCTTCTTCTTCTTCTTTTCCTTATCTTTTCAATTTCTTCAAAAACCATAAACACCATAACTATTCTACCATTTGTTGTTATTGTTCTGCCATTTGGGCCACATGCTGTGGAAAACCAAAGAAATAAAACTTTAAACTTTATCATCAGAATCTCCATTTCACACCATAAAAATAACAATACACGTGTTTAACGGAAAAACATCACTTTTTCCTTGATGGTTCTTATCTCATGCAAAAGCTTTTAGATTCTTTCTAATGAAAGCTTCTTTATTGTGCGTGTTCGAGATTTAAAGTAAAGAAAAAACGTGACTTGGGTATGATATTTATGCACACAACCTGTTTGTTTTTTTTTATTGTTTTTGTTTTAAGACAAACCCAGTTTCTTATTTTTCTTTGTTTCCTTTGTGTTATTTCTACAAATTTGTGTTTTTTTTTTTGTTATTCTAGAATCTATGTCGTGTGTGCCAGCAAGAACGGGGAGACAAAGACAGCGTTATGAAGACAACCTTCGACTTGTTTCTGGGTAAGTTTTCAATTTTGAGGACATAGGTTCTCTACCTTAAAAATCTTGCCTTTTTCATTTTTACCCTTTTAACCTCTTTTTGGTTATGATTTTTTTGTTTTGTTATGACCATGCATTATAGTGTTTATTGATATGGTTGTTGTATTATGTGGTGGGTTTCCATTGATTTTCTCTGTTGCTTTCTTTTCTCAAAATGGATCCTCTACAACATTTTTTATGGTGTAGCTTGTCGTAGAGCTCTTAGATTAAGAGAGATATTCGTTACTTACTTTCTTTCTTCTTTCCTTTTCATTGGTTTTGTCTCATTGCAAACAGAAAATTAATAGTGTAACATAGTTGTCAGATAACTGGCATGGTTGGTTTTAAAGTATGTGGTGTGAGTTTGATTTTTTAGATGAGATGTCAACCTCTAAAATAGATCTACAATGATTGATTATTTTTAAGGAACACCAATATCTCTGAAAAAATTTGTGTCTAAATTCGTACACGAGATTACTTTCATTTTTTCACAGGTCTATGTAACACCAATATCTCTGAACAAACATGTGTATCTGTGTTACTTTCATTTTTACAAAGATGTTGTATCTGTGTTAGTACTTCATTTTTTCTGAACCACCTGTACTCTTAGTGGTTCAGAAAGCAAGATTACTTACATTTTTTGAAGGTGTCGTGTCTGTGTTAGTACTTATTTTTTCTGAATTACGGATATTCGAGGTTCTGAAACAAATTGTAAGCTAATAAAGTCGTATTATAGATCCAATATTTTCACAAAATAAACAAGGACTTAATTATTTTTGTTTGTGAAATGGAAAGGCATGACATAACAGTTTCTAAATAATTGTCTTCTCTGTCAAATATTTAAATATTAAATTATATTTCATGAGGATATGTTCACAACAATGATAAATTAAATTAGTGGGCCATGTCATTGACTTAAGGTCTATTAACAAATGTAAAATACAACTTCAAATTGCAGGATCTGTTTTGGCTTTTATGCAAATATAAAACTATGAAAAATTCAACATTTATCAGTATCACAGTTCTGGCATGCAGAGTAATTAATACCTGGGGTAGCACTATTTGTTTATGAAATTATTGCTGTGTTGTTGCTTTCCTATATCAAAATCTGTGAGATATGTTTGTTGTTGAAGATTGTATTTATAGCATAGCAGATGCATGGAAGTTTCTTTGAGTCTCTTTTTTAAGCATTCAATATATTCAAGTGGACCTTAAAATAATGAGAGAAAAGGGATTAAGCTAAACAACTCTTGAATTTTTAAAGTTGTGATTATACCAGAAGAAAATGACGGTTAGTGGGATTCGTTAAACGAAATGATTTAAAATCTTGATTGGGAAAACATTATGCTTTTTACTTTTCATTTTTCTTCATGTTAACATCATTATCATGTGGATTTGTTTGATGAGGAAATGATGTAAATCTAAAAGTTAATTAAATACTGTTTTGTGAATAGTAGAAAGCACGAATAAGAATATGCCTCTGAACTGAAGCGTGTCTGGTGTCTGACACGCACATGACACTGACACGTACACGACACAGATACGTGTGATTACGTTCAATTTATTTATTTATTTTAAATTGCAACAGTTTTTTATGCCATGTGATTCACTTAAAATTTTCGTATGTATTCCATCAGATGTATTCCATATAGATGGAGAAAGGAGAATGGAGATCAGATGGAAAAAACTGAGGAAATGATAGAAGTACTTATGATTTCTTCGCCAAAACGCGACGACCTTGTATTTCCAAAGGTACTTGATATTGTCTCACCGATAATTTTCATCGTTATGAGACCTTTATTACTGAAAAGTTTCGTTTTCTATTCTTTGACAGGGCGGTTGGGAGGATGATGAGACTATCACAGAAGCTGCTTGTCGCGAAGCTTTAGAAGAAGCTGGAGTTACAGGAATTTTAAGAGTAGGTTCAATTTCCTTCTACATTATCGAAGTATTGGTTATAGTCCATCTTGAAATTTTTTAGCAATATACCCGAATAACAGAACCAAGGAAATAATCATATATATTCTTCCACTATACATATACGAGACGATGCTCATGATATCGTTCAAATCGTACATTTATATGTTATTTCCTTCCCCGTTTTGCACGGTTCTGATACATGTTTTGTAACATGTGCAACTCAAGTTTGATTTGACTTAACACTTTGTGGAAAAATGTCATTCAGTCATGTATTTGAGCCTTAATCCGGTCATATTTTGTCAGCACCGTGACTGTCTATTCTCATTTTCAGGAAACTCCATTAGGAATGTGGGAATTCCGAAGCAAAAGCAGTCAGGACTTGTGTAGCATGGAAGGAGGCTGCAGAGGATACATGTTTGCCTTGGAGGTGACCGAAGAACTTGAGGCATGGCCTGAGCAGAAAAACCGTGCTCGCCAATGGGTAATTCTTCTCAATAAATCCATAAAAAATATTATTGCAATGTGTACTTTTTGACATCTTTAACCGAGTTGGAGTGCGTTTTTTCTCTTAGTTGGATATAAAAGAGGCATTTAGACTCTGCCGATACGACTGGATGTGTAATGCACTCGAGGAGTTTACAAAAGTTATGGCAGAGGATACAACGCCAAGGAAGCAAGACAAGAATGTCGTCGACCCCCCTTCTGTTACCTCAACAGATGCCTCGGAATGTCAAAGTGTGTCGCCCAACTGCTACAAAAGATCCTCGAATATGCAGCACCACGGCGTGCCTCCTAAAGCGAATAATCTACTGCAACGCGCTTCTCACGAGATAGCCATCCATTTTGGCTATTGAACTTGCTGTACACTTTTGCTATTTTGTGCATTAACTTCTTCAAACTGATGAGACCAAAATGTGAAGTAATGGTTTGGACTTTGGATGCTCGTGTCAGCGAATTCGTAGTTGTAGGTTCGTTTTTCTTGTTTCCTTTGTGATCGATCATAATGTAGAATATGGCGGTGAAAATCTCAAGTGTAAATGGACTTAAATAGCTGTTTGCTTCACCCCACAATTCATGAAAAAACTTGTAAAATAGTGGGCACCATTTCTGGAAATCTGGTTGTCGCAGAGGTGAATAACACCATTGGTTTGTGTTTTCTGTGAAATTCATCTCTCTTACCCATCAAACTGATTGAACATTAAGGCATGCCTTTCAAGCTTTTCTTCTTTCTTTCTTCCCGTAAGAACATCAAAATGTAAGAATTTTGGAGAGAATCAAGCATATACAATGCCAAAGAACTAAACTCAGAGCAAACTAACAAGCTTGGAATAACAATCTTAAAATGAATAGATACATTCATTTACAACATAAACAAATTTTAGGATGGTAAGAAATTTTGTATACAATTTTGTATACAGCATCAACCAACATGTACAAAACATTGTTTCACTAAAAATAAAGGGACTACATGGATCAAATGTTTGCAAAAACTATGTAGCTGGATAAGTACAACAAAGAAAAATAAGATCATAGAATTTTGACATGTTAACTAGTTTTCAACATAGTTAACAGTCTCGCATAGGGTTTTAAAAAGCAATCCGCGACTGCGACAAATTGGTTTTGGTAGATGTTGATATTGATATCTTTATCACCGTTTTTTAAATTATGATTAATTGACACCGCGACGATTGCAATCAGTGTCACAACATCTGTATTGATCAAAATTGCAAAAAAATTTATGCAACTGGGATTGGTTTTTGAAACCCTGGTATTGCATTGAATACTATACAACTTAAAGATTTATTTATAAGTTAGATAATCTTTACTTTAAAATTCAGTTTTGTAGATTTGAGTTAACCTAAACTAAATTGTAATATAGTATTGGAAAAGAGATTTTTATTACATCTCGTGTATTTAGATCCTATAAAATATATATATTGTTCTTTTTTAGAAGGAAGTTTAAGAATATATCTATAACTTTTCGTAAGAGTTAAAGAAAATTTGAAATAGAATTTTAAATGAAATCAATGAAGTGTTTAAGAATTATATATATATATATATATATATATATATATATATATATATATATATATATATATATATATATATATATATATATATATATATATATATATATATATATATATATATATATATATATATATATATATATATATATATATATATATATATATATATATATATATATATATATATATATATATATATATATATATATATATATATATATATATATATATATATATATATATATATATATATATATATATATATATATATATATATATATATATATATATATATATATATATATATATATATATATATATATATATATATATATATATATATATATATATATATATATATATATATATATATATATATATATATATATATATATATATATATATATATATATATATATATATATATATATATATATATATATATATATATATATATATAATCATATTTTTAAACTTTATTCAAAACTCTATTTCACGTTTTTTTAAACTCTTACAAAAAGTTTCTTTTCTTAGTCAATTATTATGGTTGGTCACATGATCAATCTCTATTTTAACAACATAAATTTCATCGTTTTAAATTACATGTATATATATATATATTTTTTCACTTATTCATATTTCAGTTTTTCTTGTTTAGGTAATGGTTATGTTGTTTGAAAGAAAGCTTTTAAATTCATTCGAACACTTTTCAGAAGGATCCTTTCAAACCAGTGAAATATTTGGTTGACCATTTATTTCAGGTTCAATGGTTGTAGGATAGTGCCCCCTAATATTGTTAATTCAACTATTGTACAATAGGTTGGTGAGCTAAGTGTTCCTAAACTCGATAATGTTAAAGTTGATGTTGAGAAAGATTTTACCGATAGATAGATTTTTATGTCGCGTGATCATATGTTTAAATGAATTTGTGCGGACGTTGTTAAGTTACGTTTTAGGATGGTTATCGAAAAGTATGATTTTGATTTTGACAGGAGACTACCATTTGTTGTGATGAGTTATGAAATACATGATGAATATAAAGAATCTCTATGGAAGTGTTTTATATTCAATTTTGTCCGAATATTTTAAATTCATCTGATATATGTTTATTTGTTAAATTTTGCATTTTTAATCATATGCATTTTTATCATCAGAGAAAGTCACCATAATCATACATATATACATTATAGTTAAAAAGTCAACGTAAGGTCAATATGCTACATGTTGAAGAAATTAACTAAAATTGCATTTTTTTTGTTATGCATTTTTAAAAATAAATTTATGATCATTATCATCAAAATATCTCATTTATTACATCATTATTCCATGCATATATTACATAAATATTTCATACATATATTCCACAATTATTCACTAATTAATTAAAGTTTCTAAAAGGCATGCACACTCTTTGAATTTTTTTTCTTTCATAATTTCTAAACTATTCTTTCTAGAGCATATAACGAAACCTCATTTCATTCACAAATGACACAAAGAATCAATCACAAGAACAAGTCACAATTTTTCACAAATTTCTCTCCAATTTTCAAGTCACTTTTTATTCTTTTTTATTTATGTAGGCTTTTAATTTTTGTGTATTTAATTTTTTTGCACTATTATTCTTGCTACACTTAATTAGTACCTTAATCATCATTATTTTGCACGGAAACTCCACTGATTCAAAATCAAAAGTTTAAAGTGTTCTTGAATCTCCATGAGAAAAAGTGATTAAATGTGATTTAATTTTCTTTGCAATATTATTCTTGCTGAACTTAATTAGTATATTTATCACCTATATTTTGTATGGAAACTCCATTGATTCAAAATTAAGAGCTTAACCAATTTTTAGTTTGTCTAGTGGTGATTGGCGCTGGACTTGGTAAGGAAGATCACGATTCGATCTTCCACAACTGCGATCAAAAGGGGGTTGGAACCACTTGATGTTAGAATTGACCCCCAAACCAAATTAGTTAGTCCAGTGGACTGGATACTGGTGGTGAAAACGAAAAAAAATCAAGAGTTTAAAGAGTTCTTGAACTTCCATGAACAAAAATGGTAAGCTGCAAATTGATGTTTGTTTTACATAAATAACGTATCCAATAGCTTCCCAACATCATCTAGAGCATGAATCGATGGTTGTTTCTCATGAGGGTGGAAAAATGACTGAATCAAGCAAATATATGTTGCTACATTTTTATTGATTTTCGAATTGTTGTTATTGTTGTTGTTGTTGTTTATTTACCGATTTTCAAATTGTTGTTGTTATTTATTTACCGTTTTTGAATATAGCATTGTGTTCGTGAGATCGATTAGATAAATTTTCATTATTTATTCAATTAATTCCATGAAAAATTGATAAAGTTATGATGTTTTTATGTTTTCGTTGGAACTTTTTTCTTATATTTTTGTTGCTACGGGAATAGTAACCAAATGTGAGGTTGGGGAAGGTAAAGCTTCTCCCACACCCCCTGATTGCTCGGTGCATCTCTGTGGTGTCCCCCTCCTTTGAGCCTGGAGCAATTTACTAGCTACACCCTCAATTTTCAGTCTGTTTTTCTCATTTTTCACTCTTTTGTTTTCTCTTATATCAAAAACCAAAAAAATATCCATATTTCTCTCATTCACCTTTCTCTATCACATTATTGTTTTAACAAAGACTGCAGGGAGGATGACAAAAATTAAATACCCATGATTGTTGTTATATGCTTTTGATTCGAATCCTGCTGATGATGTGTAGGCATTGTTTCAAATCCCCAAACACCGGAGAGATAAGGAGTTAGTCCATAGTTAACCACTTCGAGCCTAGAAGTAGGTGTTTATTTTGGATCTAAAAATCCTTACGCTTAACTTGAGACAAGTTAATGTTCACTTAATTTGACTCCACATTTGAATTACAAGATGAAACATCTCGCATAATGATCAACCACATGATATTATTTGCACACATATTGAACTGTCAAATGAGTCTTGAAAAATCCAAAAGTTATGTCGGTTGTCCTTCAATGACCAATGACTTAGCAGTCACAACCTTCAACAAAATCGGAAAAAAAAAAGTCTGCTAAGTCGAACACCAAAAAAGGAGACTTAGGTAAAAAAAAATTAGGATAATCCTGGTGGACTAAAAGCTTCAAAAAAGAGGTCCAGGCAAAAATTATGGATCAAAAGCAAAAAAAAAAATCAATTCAAAGAGGTCATAAAATCCTCAAACAAAGCAAAACAAGATTCGGTAACAACTATCAAGAATCAAAGGGCACCGACACCCATGACAAAAGCAAAATAAGTTGACTATCATTTCAAGAAAATTTTGAAGCATCATCTTCACTCTTACACCGTCGAACTCTCTTGGAAATTGAATACGCGTGTCAAATTAACTAAACATAGGATTGAAGATCATTATGAAGAAGGGGTGGGTTAAAAAAATTAATCCTTATATTCTTTGTTTCAAGAAAATATAAGAATTTATTCGGAAAGCATATTACAGTAATGTTGCGTAAACTGACTCCTAGAGATTTGCTAATTCATTGTATTGATCTTATATTCTAGTTGTATTTTTCAAACTTTGAATAGATAAATCAACACTGCGTTTGGACTAGTGGCCCACTCGTCACACACTATCACATCATGATTTTTCAAAAATTTCATGAATATCGAATTAAAATTACCATTTTGAATGAATAATTTTAACTCAAGTTAGTACTTGACATCAGGGAAATTCTAACAGGGGACAATCAGAGAGGAACTTGATCATTCACCAAAATTAAGACCACCTCATAACCCTATGGAGCAGGGGCATTGGCATCCAATGAGTATGTTGACCCAAGAAT